CAGCACTCTCAACAATAGCCAAGACATGGAAAGAGCCTAAGTGTCCATCAACGGACGAATGAATCAAAAAGATGTGGTTTATCTATACAATGGAATACTACTTGGCAATGAGAAAGAATGAAATCATGCCATTTGCACCAATGTGGATGGAACTAGAAGGTATTATGTGAGTGAAATAAGTCAGTTAGAGAAGGATAGATAACATATGTTTTCACTCATATGTGGATCTTGAGAAACTTAACAGAGGACCATGGGGGAAGGGAAGGGGAACAAAATTGTTACAAACAGAGAGGGAGGGAGGCAAACCATAAGAGACTCTTAAATACAGAGAACAAACTGAGGGTGGATGGAGGGAGTGGGGGAGAAGGGAAAATGGGTGATGGGTATTGAGGAGGGCACTTGTTGGGATGAGCACTGGGTGCTCTATGTAAGCGGTGAACTATGGGAATCTACTCCAAAAACCAAGAGCACACTGTACACACTGTATGTTAGCCAATTCGACAATAAATTATATTNAAAAACAAACAACCCAGTGAAGAAATGGGCAGAAGACATGAACAAACATTTCCCCAAAGAGGACATCCAGATGGCCAACAGACACATGAAACGATGGTCCCCGTTCCTCCTCATCAGGGAAATGCAAATTAGAACCACACTGAGATACCACCTCACGATGGTCAGTGTGGCTAAAATGAGCAAATCGGAGGATTCTAGATGCTGGCGAGGATGTGGAGAAACGGGCACCCTCCTACACTGTTGGTGGGAATGTAAACTGGTACAGCCCCTCTGGAAAACAGTGTGGAGGTTCCTCAGGAAACTAACAATAGAACTCCCCTAGGACCCAGCAATAGCACTGCTAGGAATTTACCCAAGGATACAGGGGTGCTGATGCACAGGGGCACATGGACCCCAGTGTTCATAGCAGCACTCTCCACAATAGCTAAAACATGGAAAGAGCCTAAGTGTCCATCAGTGGACGAATGGATCAAGAAGATGTGGGTTATCTATACCATGGAATACTACATGGCAATGAGAGAGAATGAAATCTGGCTTGTGTAGCAACATGGATGGACCTTGAGGGTGTTATGCTGAGCGAAATAAGTCAGGCAGAGAAGGACAAATACCATATGTTTGCACGTATAGGAGGATTAGGAGGAACTCAATGGAGGACCATGGGGGAGAACAAGGGGGAAAGTGGGGGGGGAGAGGGAGGGAGGCAAACCAGGAGAGACTCCTGAATATTGAGAACAAACTGAGGACTGATGGGGGTGAGGGGAGAGAGGAAGGTGTGTGATGGGCATGGAGGGGGGCACTTGTGGGAATGAGCACTGGGTGTTATATGGAAACCAGCTTGACAATAAACTGTTTTTTAAAAAGGCAATAAAAAAAAGAAAGAAAATGAGCAGGGGAGGCCTTCAACATATTGATTACTGTGTTCATGTGACTCAGTAATGATGGAGGATGGGGGCCCGGGTCTCCTATGTGCCCTGTGCCCTCCACACAGGTCCCCCTCACCTGCCTTACAGCCTTGGGGTTCTGGCTAAGCCAGGAACCACAGTACTGAGGCCACCGTGACTGAAGCTCTACAGAAATAGTGCCGGAGCACCCCCGGGGTGGCTGGGTGCTCACCCTCTGGGGCTCACTGGTGGCTGAGGGGAGGCGCTGGGCAGCCCAATGAAGCCGGAGGAGAAGCAGTGTTAAGCTGGTGACAGAAGGCAAGGGGACTTCCCAAGTGGTCATGACACAGAGATGCATTTCACCCAGACGGACTGGGTCGCCAAGGCTCTGGGGAAGTCATGGTGTATGCAGCGGCCTGGGTGCTCGGGGGCAGCTGGGTAAGGGGTTCAGGAAGGGCGAGCGACATTGGGCCCCCGGCAGTGAGGGCTGTTGGAAGGTTGAGCAGGGAGAAGGTGACCTTGGGACCAAAGGGAATCGGATGTCAGGAAGTGCATCCGAAGCCCAGCCAGGAGACTGAGGGCAGGAAGGAACGTGCCAGGGCTTGGGGTGGGCCGTCTCTTCAAGTGGAGAACAGACTTTCCAGCTCCTGGGGTTCCCTGGGGACCCTGGCTGTGGGGGATTCTGTGGTCCCCAGCACAGGGACAGCTCACTGTGCCTATGGTTACTTCGATATCTGGGGCCCGGGAACCCAGGTCACCGTCTCCTCAGGTGAGTCCCCCTTGCTCCAGCTCTGGGGGCCTGAGGCCGGGTCCCTGGGGCCGATCTCAGCTCCTCCACAGGCTGGGACCCGAGACCTGCAGGGCCCCTGGGAGGTGAGCAAGCTGAGAGCCAGCAGAGAGGAGGGAAGGCCCGGGGACAGGGGCTGGAAGCAGAAGTTGTGGGCAGAGCAGGGTCGGGGCCGGGGCCTGGATATCTGTGTGCTGGGGCTGGGCAGGCACACCAGTGTGGCTACTATCAGTTAGATATCTGGGGCCAGGGAACCCAGGTCATCGTCTCCTCAGGTAAGACAGCTTTCTGTCTGCCCCCTCTGTCCCAGGGCTGGGGAAGAAATATCCAGAGGCTCTTTGCTCTGTGTGGGGCCATCTGGGGAGCCCAGAGGGCTGCTTCTGAGGCTGTGAGGTTCCCACCCTGCTGACGGCCTTTCTGTGGGGAGTGGGTGTTCCTGCCTGTGGGAGTCAGGCCGGCGGAGGGGGCTCCACTTCCAGGGGCTTGGGGGGAGGGGCGCATACCCGAGGATTCAGGACGCTGGGCATTGGGCAGGGGTTGAGGTTTTTGTACACCCCTTAGTGGGACCCATAGCAGAGTGACTATTTTCAATACTGGGGCCAAGGAACCATGGTCACAGTGTCCTCAGGTGAGTCCTCCCAGCCTCTTCTCCTCTCTGTCAGAAGGTTTTGGGTGCATTTGGGGAGAAAAGTGAGGCTGCCAGGGTCTCAGGTCTAGAAGGACTGGTTCGGTGGCCGGGTTCTACAGGGACCTCAGCCACCCTCAGCTTCTGGGGCCACCGGGCCCTCTCAGCCCCACCAGCTGTGATTTGAGGAGGTCCGAGGCCTTAGTCAGGCCCCTCTTCTTGTCTGGGGCTCCAGAGACATTGTCACAATGTGACAACTGGTTCAACTACTGGGGCTCGGGGACCCCAGTCATCGTGTCCTCAGGTGGGTCCTCACCCCCCCCCACTCTGGCTGCACTTGGGGAGATCAGAGATTTGGGGGCTCGGAGTCAGAGCTGCCAAGGCATCTTGGAAGCTTGGAAATGGAAGCAGAGACAGGATTCCCAGACACGGGGCTGGAGATCGCCTTTCCACAGTGGCGGTCTGGGTGGCTCTGGCCACATAACTGAAGCCTCCTTGGGGGCCCCCGTGACTGTGGTATAATCGGCATAATCGGGCTCTGTGGCCCTGACACACCTGCCATCCGGGGCAGTGGCCCTTGGGGCTGATTGGACTTCTGGGTTCCAGTTCAGGGCTGTGGTTTGTAGTCAGGTGGCCCAGGCAGGCAGTGGTCTGGCCTCTGGGGGGCCAGGCCAGGACATGGGGTCTCAGGGGCAGCGGGGTGTGTGGGGACAGGGCCAGTGAGGGGGTCCAGGACCCTCCAGATAACAGTGACTTGGAGGATCGGCCTCCGTGTGGCCTGGGAGTGCAGGCCTCCAGCGGGAACCGTGCCGGCTGAGGCCGCAGGGTTTTGGTGGGGTGCAAATGGAGACTTCACCGCTGTGATTACTATGGCATGGATGTGTGGGGCCACGGAACCACTGTCACAGTGTCGACAGGTAAGAGCGGCCCTGCTGGGCCTTCCTTTATTCTCTGCTCCTGTCTGGGGTTTTCTGGGGCTTTCTGGGCATCGATGGCTGGTCCTCAGGACACGTTCCCCAGGGGCAGGCTGGCCGGGAGAGGACGAGAGCCCGGTGCCTCAGGGGTTTCAGAGCCTCTTGATTTTCTGATGCTTTTCTAAAACTGGAACGAGGCCAGCATGTCCAGTGCAGTAACTGAGCCCCTGAAGAGGGGCTGGAGGCTGGCCAGGCCACGTGAGGGTGAGTGGCCAGGACCCCCATGGCTGCAGGACAGTGTGGCTGCGGCAGAGACCCTGGCGTTGGCTCACGAGTGTGTGGGCAGCTATGTTTGGAGCCGCAAGAATGCCGCACATACAGCGGGCCATGAAAGACTGTCTGCAGGGTGAGGAGTGGTGCTCGGTATAGACTGTGTTTACGGTTCTTGGTCGACTGTAAGGACTAGGTGCCTGGGAAGGGGGCTGCGAGCTCGGCTCTGCGAGGTCGGATTCTGGAAGATGGTTTGCCCCTTGTAAGAGGCGCACTGGCTAAACATTAAAGGACAGGATATGTTTGAAGTGGCTCCTGAGAAAAATAGTTAAGACAACTGAGACTTTAAAATGTGAGACGTTTTCAGCATGTTAAACTTTTTAGTCCTGTCTGTCCACTAACAAGCATGAATGTCTTTCTGGCGTAGATACAGGAAATAGTAACATGGCGCTGAATTAATTTATTTTTTATTTAATTCAGTGATTCTGGAAGTGGTGTCTCGGAGTTAGCTGGGGGCGGCGTGTGGGGCCAGCCATCTGCACCAGGTGGCAGGAAGCGTACCACAGGGACGGTCTATTTTGGGAAATACGAAAACAGAGTTGGCAAATTTATAGTTTATGGTTATGAAGAAGTGGTTTTCGGGTGGTTTTGACCAGCTCCGCGGTTCTGAAAAACAACACCTGCATAATTTGCATTTTCTAAAATAAGGCCAAGACGCTGGCACAAGCTGGGACAGTTCCTTTTTTAACAATTTGAATTTAATTTTTCAGTCTTCGCTGCCAACATCTCATTTATATTCATTTTGAAACTAAGACATTTAAGAAATTAAGCAGTCTTGGGGACAGTTTATCAATGCATTCATGTAACTTTTTAAATTAATTATTCTTTCAAATGGTCTTAATCTCAAGCCATTTTCTAATGTCCCAAAGCACTGTTTTTACAATTACTGTGTTCACAATATTTTAAGTTAGTTGATTTTCTCTTTATGATTAACAAGCGTTTAGATATCCTGATAAAGTGGCCTTTGTGTCAGCATTTTCAAGACCACTTTTCAAGCACTCTTGTTGGGGCAAGTTTTAGGTGAAGTGTGTTTTGATCATCCTGAAGGATTTCAGTGATGCGTGTTGGTTGTTGGAGTAAGAGGAAGCACAGTCAGGTCTTGAATCAGAAAGGAATTCTTGCTGGATCCTGAGCTGAAGGAGCCCCAGTGGAGGGTCCATGTGGCCCCCCAAGGCTGCCGTGGCTCAGGGCCCTTGGGACCCCTGCCCCAACCGGGCCCGCCATGGCTTCTGCCACGAGGCCAACGGGCTATTCATCAGTGAACTGATTTAAATGGATTTGGAGGAATTCTTCAATACCAAAGACACCACGGGACTTTCTGGTGACCAGGGAGCCGACATGGTAAGAGAGAGGCGGCCCCGGCTGCCAAATCTGCTGCTCCAGAAAGTCTTTATTTGATGTTTTGCTTTCTGCTTGAAGAGGAGTCAGTCTTTAAAGATTGCTTGGTGAAACAATGAGGTTTATTTGTATGAATCCTTGCATGACCATTGTCTTGGCTTCTTAACTATGAGTTCTGTGGCTCAGAGGGTCTAACATAGACGAAGAGCCTCTTAGGCCATCTTCGAATCGTTAAGTGCAGCTTTGGATTTGAGGTCATTACTGTGCATTTGAAAGTAGCCGTCGCCTTGTATAGAGCTTCATGACAACGAGCAGGATTATATGTGCAAATTGAGAGGAGATGCATTTTTGGTCATGTTTAATGATGATTTTTATTTAGAGGGAGATTAGTTAAAGTTGGAGGCCCACTTTAGACTCAGCAGGCAGGAAGAGTCCAGGATGGTGAAGGCTCCGGCAGGGGGACCCCAGCACTGTTTTCTCAGCACAAAAGGAACGCTGCCCACTCTAAAAGCAAAGATGGGCTTTTCACTCTGAGGACAGCAAACGCTCCTCAGTCCTGGTTAAATATCTTGGTGAATTTAAACTTGCCAGGAAGTATTTTCCCCAGGAAACTGAGGCGGTAGTAAGTGATAATGCTAGAGGGCCAAGAGCTGCCTGAAGACAGGGACCAGGCTGAGAGAAAATAGAGGGTTCCGCTGGAGAAACCCCCAAGGACACACAAGGAGGGAGACGTAGGAATGAGTACCAGAAGGCACTGGCCCTGGGCCAGCCTCAGCTGCATGGATTCCTGGATAAGATGGCTTTGGCCAAGGCAAATGGGTCTGGTGGCCTGAAATTTTCTGGCCAGTCCCAGGACTGGGTTTTCAGGACTGCACTGTACAGGACTACACTGGGCTGCCCAAAGCAGTCCTCAGCTGAGCTGGACTAAACCAGATTGAGCTGGCTTTTCTGAGATGAGCTGAGGCTGAGCTGAACTAGACTCAGATGGGCTGAGCTGGGCTGAGCTGGGGCTGAACTGGGCTGAGCTGGGCTGAGCTGGGGCTGAACTGGGCTGAGCTGGGCTGAGCTGGGGCTGAGCTGGGCTGAACTGGGCTGAGCTGGGCTGAGCTGGGGCTGAGCTGGGCTGAGCTGGGGCTGAACTGGGCTGAGCTGGGCTGAACTGGGCTGAGCTGGGGCTGAACTGGGCTGAGCTGGGCTGAGCCGGGCTGAGCTGAGCTGAACCGGGCTGAGCCGGGCTGAGCTGGGGCTGAGCCGGGCTGAGCTGGGGCTGAGC